GCCATATCCCCCAGTGGGATTAACCTAGCAGGTTTTGGTTCTAATAAAACACGGTGTACTCGAAACAATGTTCGTGACTATTGGTGATCTTATATCTGCTTTGGAAAATACTACAGTGCTTTAAATCAATCTGTCTATACTTCTACTTGACGAAACTGCACCGTACAAAGGTCACAATACCACATTGACTTTCAGTAACATATCTCTGACCGTTAAACTTTTATATATATTTTTTAGGGTCATCCAAGAGGCAGTGTGGTGATATTTTATGGTCATCCAGTGAGTGTTCATTACACGGGATACACAGTGGATACTTTTTTTGTGCCGATCCATCACATGACGATCGCACAAGATGTGTTCTGTGATTAACCACCGGCTCCATTCATCACGCGGATTCAACTCACAGTGGTTTCGACTGTCAGTGGACGTATATTGTCCTGACAAATTGGCGAGTCCAGAAGGAGATATACGATCATGCCGCTCATACTCTCATCAAAATCACACGGCCTCTCGCGCGACACACAACCGCGAAGAAGCAAACAAATCAGGAGATAATCATTTCTTGCTGCTCTTGAACGATTCCAAAATTTCTTTTCGCTGCATCCAATCACAAACAAGTGGCCGACTGACTGCAAACGAGGGAGGTGTTTATTCAGAGGGCAGCTGTGGTTTGGTTTTGTCACAGCGCTACAGGTACAGTGGATTACAATTGATGTCTTGTGAAAGTGGAGCTTTACGTAAAACAAAAATGAGTTTGATGCGAGGAACGCAGATAAAACATGGACTCGCACAACACGTCACAGTCGACGGGAAGCGTCCGTAAAGATGCTTTCTCCCCATCGTCTCATCTCATCTCCGTGACAGTTTACAGCGGTAGTAACTCCACAGTTGAATTCATCTAAGAGACTCTTTTCACACTGTTGGTGCTGTTTTCTTTAGCCAAGGCCTTCGAATGGGGCTCAGCAATTTCACCCTTCAACGTCCTTGTGTGAACATTGTGAAGATAATAGTTAATAACCCGTTTTTGTTTCTTGATTGGAAAGTCTCAGTGGGTATTTCGGACACAGCGTCCATTTCAGGACATGCATTTCATCTGACTTTCTTCTGTCCATGCTGTCATTTGGCTCGGGTTGGCAACATCTGTAAGGTAGAGCAACGGGAGGTTGGACAATTGATGATTTGTGTTTTCAGATGTAAGGTAGAGCAACGGGAGGTTGGACAATTGATGGTGATTTGTGTGTTCAACGTCAATGTGAATATTGTTCTTCATTAGTTTAGTTCACGCTAATAAGTTCTCTTAAGTCCATCTTCATGACGTCAGCTATGCTCTGATATTTGAAGACTCCAGTTTCTGGATTTCAGAATCAAGCCCGTTTCAAATCACCTTCTTTTGCAGTGTGAAACATTCTTCAAGCTGTTCACATTTCGGAATAATTGCGGATACAGGCCAGAGATAAGTTTAAATTGTTGTTACTGGTATTTATGTGGTCATATTATTGGCACTGATAATTATTATGACCAAAATCTGATTCTTTGGTGGGGGTTGGCGTTTGCACTCCACTTTCTGGAAGGTATTAAAATCCATTAAACAGTTGTCAATTGCCTCACCTGGTTAAAAAAGAAAGAAGCAAAGAATGAAACAATCAAAGAAAGTAAGTCACGAAAAAGGTCTAGTAACATGTCTTTAGGTCTTGCTTGTCAGCGGTTTGTGTTTGGATAAAGTTTGATCAAATTCCAAATTGTACAACCTTTTGTGTCTGATTTCAGACTATTTGAAACACGTTTGGTTGCGGTGCTACAAGGCAGGAACCTTCAAAGTTTAATCGCTACATTGGTTGTCAAAATAGTGTCGTTTAACCTTTTGTTCCGGCTCTGATCAAAACAATGACTCCTTTTGTTCCTGTTTTGACTGAAGTGTCTGCCATCCTCCCTAGTCTGACACTGTCCTTTGTGCATTTTCCAGATCACACTGGCTTACTGCGGAGGCTCATTTTTTTCCCCCATTGGTCTTGTCTGATTAGCATTACTGTATCACGCTGTCACTGGCACCTCACTGACCTTCCTCACCTCCTTTGAAATTACTTGCTTTGTTAAGGACCATGAACACCAATCTGTGCTTAGAAGAACCGAGGGCTCTTTCAGTATCTTGATAAACTGAACTTCTGCATAAGAAATCTGAGCCGTGGCTGACAGTGACAGTTTTTTGTTTATTTTTAAAATCATTTTGGAGTGGATCCTTTTAACACAAACAGCTGTGTCTGCCATTGAAGTAAAATTCTGAAAAAAATGTCAAATTCTGGTGTCCCATTCATTTTCAGGCATCACGTTTGGGGAGGGTTTTACTGATTTGACCAACTTATTTTTACATGAGGTCACCAATGTTCATGCTTAAAGTGTACATTTAATAACTTTTTCATGACGATTCAACCTCCATTATATTTGATGGCATTTTTTTTTCATGGGATACAGACTTTTTTTTTTTTTTCTCTCCAAGCATTGCGATTTCACTGTCTGATGATTGGATCACTAAATACACTGTTGGTGCTTTTTGAAACACATTTACTGAAATGCTTTTTGTTGCACAAGAAGCGGACTTGAATATATGGGACGTACTTGGGCGACTTGGAAATTGATAGCTGCAATTATTGCTTTGATTCATTCTTGTTGAGTGTACTGCATGTCTCGTAATTTACAATGCAGTGCAATAGTTCATTGGATACTGCGTAATCAACATTGCGTAGGCAGTAAATTCAATGACACAAGATCTAGATATGCTAGATTGAGTCCCTGTGTCTTACTTTGAATTGAACATGTTATTAAATATGTGGTTTGTGTCTAACGTGGAAAAATAATTTCTAACATGTCCAAAATGAATCACTGATTTGTTTTCAGTTGTATTTATTTATTCATTTTCTTTTCTTGTCTTGTCCAGACCCATGTCGAATTGTGATGGAGTATTTAGGTTACAATAAGACTTCATTTGCATCCATGCCTCAGCCAAATTACAGGCAATCATTTCCAAGAATGTCAAACATGAAAACAGGCGTTGATTATCCAACACCCCCTCATGCTGAAATTGCAAATGAAGCTCATCATGACCTTCATAAGCTTTCAAACACGCAGGAGCTGTTTATGGTTATGTTGTCATATAACAACCAAACAAATTGGTATTTATTTGCCTGCTTTTTGTTATTGACGAGTGTTGCCTCACATATCAAAACTCGCCCCCTCACCGTTATGGCGCGTGTAAATAAGACCCCATTTACTGTCACTGACATAAATGAGTCCGATAACAAGGGACTCAATGTCCTTGCCTTCCAAATGTGCCTTATTAGCTTCCCATTCGACCGGCAGCTTCTTCCACATCATTCAGCTTTGCAACGACTGTTTTGAATTGTTTTACTCCCCCAACTTTTATCTTTCAAGACTTTGTCCTAAAATTAACTGCCTGGAAGATTCAGCTGAAATGTTTGATCGGTAACAAATACTGGGGCAGCTCAACAAAGCATGGGGCGATCTACATTTCAAGAGTCACTTATTCGCTTCTATTTAATAGGCAGATCTGACAAACTTGAATATCGTTTAACTTTGAGGTCAACACAGCTGCTTGGAGTGCGAACGGTACATTTGATTGTTGTTGATGGCCTTTCCTTCGTAGAAATGTATCTCATGAAATGTTTGACATTTAACACGAATCATAAATAGTGCCGCCTGAAGATACCAGTGAACCGACCAGTTTTCCAAAATAAGAGGCGTTGTTTGGCCGTTTCGCCTTGGCAAGTTAAAATGTGAGATACGAGGGCCACATGGTGCAGGTAAACTCAACTCACATCACAAGTAGCAGTTTGGCAGATCGTAAACAACTTTGCAAAAAGTGGGTTCAAGCTGTTTTTTGCAACTCCCAGTTGAAGTTGACTGACAAATTTACATATGTGCTAGCATGATGCTAACACATAAGGGGAAGCACCATAGCTGGGCTAACCAATAAATTTGGTGTGGCGATTGTATATACCTTTAAGCAATAAATATTTGAACAGAAACGACACAACATATCAATAAAACAATACTCATAGGTTAATATTCTTTATCCTCATCCAAGAACTAACTACTGGAATGGATTGGCATTTCCAGTCAGTTCAATGGGGAAGGATGATTTGAGTTACAAGCATGGTTATGAAATGAATGAAAGCCATCTCCTAAGGCAGCATCGTACGTTGTCAAGAATACAACTGGTATGTTTTTGGGTGATTTACATTGGAATAAAACTAAAAATTATTCACATTTATGAGAATGATTTGAGCCTAACAAAGCAAGCAAGTAGTTTTCCCCCCAAACTATTTGCTGAGTTGTTTTTACTTCAATCATTCAATTAAATTAATAAGTTTTACTGATATCTTTAAGGTGGGGAACAGTACAAGGGACAGTTAGTTCTGTAAAATCCTTTTTTTTTTCTCTCTTGCAAAATGCCAGATAACCAATATTCACAACAGCAAAACTTTAAATATTTTGTTGACTTGCCCAACTTAAACACTTGTTGCCGTGAAATTTTGAGTTCACCCAACTTGTTTTTTTAAATTTTATGATTATTATTATTATTTTTTACAATATATCTTGAACCCATACTTCAACCTGGATGGACAGTGCTGGAATATTCACGATCCCATGTTTGCTGCATTTGACTCATAACACAGTAGCATTCAAAATGAAACAGAAAAACCCTAAAATGCTTCATCGCTACTGCGATTAAAATAAAGTAAAACGTTGTGCTGCAGATCTCAAATTAAGCCGGCATCCGTTTTAGACTCTCCCTAATAGCTTCCCCGCTTGCAACAAAGAGACACACCATGACAACAAACACATTCCGAATAGGTTTGCACCACACAGTGGTTTGGAATTGAGCTAAACAGATGCTTAGCTTCCAGCAAGTTAATTGAAAGACCGTCAAGCAGCTCACGACATACCAGCTTCCCTCTCACTTTGCTGTGACTTGTGTGTTCCAGGTGGCTGTGACAGGGACACCCCCGGGGCAGGACCCATGAGGAGTCATAGAAGATGCTCACAACCTGGGCACTTCTGCTCTTCTTAGCCATGTGGGTGACAAGCACCTCTGGTGGCCCGCTCTCCTTCAGAATAGGTATGTCTGCATCTACGGTAACAACACACTCATTTTTTATTCTTTGACAATAGTTTGGAGGCGTTAGTTTTGCTCTTGCTTTTTGTAGACCTTCTGCATTTTTGATTTACCTTCTTCAATTGATTTAGTAGTCTGGATAAATAACAATTAATCTAGTTCTATTCTAATTATGGTGGCTAAGGGAAGAGCCGTGGGTGGGCCTATTACCAATTGAATAGACAAGCACTCAAGGCTATTGCGTTAGCGCAATACTTACTCGGCATGACTAAACAGCTGCCAAGTATTGTGCGCTGATTGATATTATTTGGTCTGTTTTGCTCCGTTTTTCAGCTGTGGTAAGAAATTGCTCCTTCACTTCTAAAAAGCAGTTCCTATGCTCACCTTTGTTTAATCTCAGGATCTCTCCTATTCCTACTTTTTTTTTTTCATCTGAACTCTTGTTCTGTTTGCTAGTCTTATTTACTTTTTTTTTTTTTCATCTGAACTCTTCTTCTGTTTGCTAGTCTTACTTGGATGTGGAAATTCCACCATAGTTTCGGCAAAGGTTCTGAAGCCTAAGGTAAAAGTTCAGTTTAAAGATGCGAGGGTTTGCCTCCTTTGAGTGTGCCTGAAAGTGCATGGCGAATATTGACACCTCATCAGACACGCTTTGTGTATCTGATTGCTTATTTTTCTCAGGCGTGGTGTATCAAGATACAAGATGGGACCAGATAAGGCTGTTTTTTTTCCCGGTCAGGATATACTCACTGGCTTAACAAATATGACGCTTTGTGTATCTGATTGCTTATTTTTCTCAGGCGGGGTGTATCAAGATACAAGATGGGACCAGAGAAGGCTGTTTTTTTTTTCCCTGTCAGGTTATACTCACTGGCTTAACAAATATGAGGGAAAAAAATCTCATAGGATGTGATTAGCAAAGGCTAAGGTGGTGTAGCAGGATAATTGGCTCAAAATGTACACTGCACTATTTGCGTGCCAGGTCGTTTTGATAATCATTTCTGTTATCAACATTCATTCTCCCGTTTGTGCTAACACAATAAGACTACTTCCTGTTTCCATTCCCGCACCCACCGATGATCAATCAGAGAATATTGTGGTTTGTCGAGACATTTTGCTCTGCTTTTTTTCATCCCACCTGAAGAAGAACGCAAGACATTTTCCATTCAGTATTCAGTCCTGCTGTCGAGACATTTTGCTCTGCTTTTTTTCATCCCACTTTAAGAACGCTAGACATTTTACATTCAGATTTCAGTCCTGCAAGAACGGCAGCTTCATCTCGGAGGTAATTCCCTGAACTGCTTTTTAATCACATGACCAAACTCACATTGTCCAATTTTCTCAACCAACCTGGTCCTCAAGAGGCTTCATTGTAAGAATCAACATTTGTTAGTCAATTACAGTCAGGCCATTTTTGGGTGATCAAAGCACTTTTCCACATTTACCTACTGATGACTCAGCATCAGGAGCAACTGGGGGTTCAGTACCTTGCTCAAGGACACTTCGACATGGTCGCATTGGCCGGGAATCGAACCCCCAACCGCTGGGTGGGGAGACAACCACACGGAGCAATGCAGCAATTGTGAACTGAAAAAAAAAAAAGAATAATAATCATGACCGGTCATTTTTGTCCTCCACACACCTGAACCACCAAGTGAATTTGAATGTTCCCAGCGACTCATTTTCTGCTCCCATAGCAGAGTTGTTTTCAGGTTAGAGGGGAGTACATTAATAATGGAAAATCCTTCTCGTGATCCCAATGTGGATATAAAAAGTCTGTTGGAACATTAACTCAAGCCATACATTAAACATGTGACTGTTTCTTGACTGGGAGCAGTTGCAGTACAGTTTCATTTTTTTTTTTTTTAAAGGTCTAGTTTTTAAAATTAATGGTCCCTTTTTGTCTGAAAATGGGTTGCTTTAGGCTCTTTTAAAATATCAGATGCATATTTTCTCGAGAAATCTCATCCGGTAATTATGAAAACATGAAGTTCAAGTCAGGAAAAAGTTACAATTATTGAGGCAATGTGATTCTTACAGTAGATCATTATCTTTTTGCTCATAGTTGGAGAAACAGGCCATTTCCTCCTCCAGTGCTCCAGACCTTGATCAGACTAAGTGTCACCATCGAGCAATGTCAAGATGTCTTATTATTATTATTTTTTTATTTCTTTGAAGGTTTCTTTCCTGCAGGCGCCTTGTTTTTTTGTTTGTTTTTTTTTTGCTCATTTGCCATGACAACCCAAACAGCAGCGCTTGTTAACATACTGTAGTTTCATGCACCAACAATATCAAATTCATATGAGTCTTCGTTTGTTACCATCATTCAACATGTTCCGGCTGATGCCCCCCTTTGTGCTCTTTAAAGCCTCGCCCGCCCAAACGCACAACTGCGCCGGTGGTTTGTGTTTATTTCAGTTGCATTATTAATGGATAATTCGGCAGTGGGAAATATTTCATTCTCTTCTCATGTCAAACACATAGTGAGCGTCAAATGGTGATGTGTGTGTCTGCTTGTGCAAACCCTGAATATGCTCAAAATGCAAAGACAAATAAACACATTCAAACAAATGCCAGCGCAAATTGCTGCCATTTGTGCTCCAGGAGATGGTATTTAACATGACCGCCCCCCCGAGTCCAGTTTGCCTGCTTGGCATAATGTCACTGTCTGGCATGCACGATATGCAGCAGGGGGCAAAACCAGCACTCCATCCATGCCACACATTCCCCCAAGAGGTCTTGCCAGCCTCAAATTCAATACATCGCCGCTGTGTATTTGGCACGGCACATGTGAAATTGACATTTGTTCCCAAAATGTAATAGATGGGCACGGTAGCTGTACTTGCTGCTCACTTTTAACTGTCACTGTGACACATCCACAGACATGGGATGCACTGGAAAATTTCAATGAGGAAGTGAAGCATAAAGCAATTCATTTATTGTTTCATGCTTGGTTGTTAGATAAGACCAAGATTATTATATCGCTACATAATAATGCAGTGGAACCTGGTGGTCGGCCTCCAATTTGTTCTGATTCCAGACAGAAAATGAAATGGCTCATTTTTGACTTGAGCAAGCTGTGGCTTATTTTCAATGGACATGCATGGGCTTTGCCTTCTTTGGGAGCAAACGTCGCCACCGGCAGAGGACTGGCGTTGGCATCGAACTTTGTTGCGCTCATCTCAGCAGTTGGAAATCTGCGGTTTGAAATGGGTGGTGGTTGCTCTCTGGACGTGTACCAGATCTTCAAGTTTGATCGCTGCAGTAATCTCAATAGTGAGTCCTTCTCCAACTGACACCCAAACTTCTGTGCTCCCTGCCGAACTTTTTATTGAATAACATATGCAAATTACAAGTACTGTATAACAAAAACACTGCCTCCTATATTTGCATACCACGCCCCCCAGCCCGGCCCTCCGCCGGACATCTGGACACATTTGGCCTTCCCATGAACTGAGACATTACAGACACTTTAACATACCGATAACAAGTTGTCTTTTTACACTGTGACATTTGTTACCAGTTCCCAAACATCCCTCGGCACTACAAAGCACCTTGTTCCAAACTGTTTACTCCCAAGCTGGGTCTACATGCCTTCATCTGCTTGCAAACCCCTCAACCGTTCGTCACCCCCTGAGACAAGGCGACCCCATGTGGACTTCAAAGAGCCCTTTTGCCCGACAGACACTTCCTATGATCAGATAACGGTGTCTGATGGCCCTCTTGCCCCTAGACGACCTGACTCTCTGCGCGCGCCCACACATTTGAGGACGCTGAATTCACAGAAACGTCTTGACAGGCCCAAAACGAAATAAGACTTTAAACATGATATCATTGTGTTCGTCAATTCCTCTACCACAGGACTGGCAACAGAAATGCTACACCTTGAACCCAAATTAAATTCCATACGGAATTCCCTGTGATGTGTGACATGGAATATTTTCATAGCATTTAGAAATTGGAAGACAAGGCTCAATGTAAAAAGTGAAGTGAGACTACGTTGAACTCTTGCGAGCAGTTTTAACACCGAAAACTCCCCCTGTAATGCTGCCGTCTTCCAACAATGTCACAAATGATGACTGAAAGTTTGGCTGACACTTGTACAACTTCAAGTCTACATCTTGGCTTCCACTGCACAAGTAGAAGAACTTATTCCACACAAAAAACCCTAACAAAAAATGCCATTTATTCCTGAAAAAAAAAATAGGAATATTTAGTACATCTGATGACAGAATTCCAAATCACCATCATATGGTCCTGTAATAGTGCTTGTATTTCCCAAATTAGTGAAAAAAGATTTCCTATTAGCCATGGCTGTAAATTTTGATCAATCATGTGGCCACAAATTCATTATTGCAAGCGGGTTTTTAGCAGTTTTTCAACAAAGAAAAATAGAAGGACTTGCACCTGAATCAGTATTCAGTAACCAATAACAAAGTGAATCTCCATAAACACCGCACACACCCACTTGGCTTCTTCCAGCATCAAACAGGACCACAAAGCTTTTCATCTGCTATTAATCATCAAATATTGCTTTCCAAACCAGTATGCACTTTGAGCCATTACTTGTGTAAAATCGATTTCAAGAAACATGCGCTTCCAAACGCATTCAGACTTCAACCTTTGTCATAAATTGAATAAGCTCCCTGTGAAAGAAACGTGTGTTGAAAAATGCCCGTGGCAAATGATAACATTGAGAGCGGTATATTATTAGGATATTTATTTCAAATGCATTAACCCGAACGTGACACTTTATCGCTGTTGAAGGCGACCTCGCCTTAACAGCTTTAAGTGCAGCTCAGTAATTTGAGCTTTAAGTGGTGGACTTTCGATTTGGAAATCATTTAGCTCTGTGTGGGATATAGGCTAGAGATTGCATTATAATAGACGTGTAAAAAAAAAAAGTACATAACAATGTAAAATTTTGTAAATGTCAACAATGCGAATCAAAGAAAACGATTACTTTTGCTGTTTCGAATGGACCGAACTGTAATAATGTATCC